CAACCCAACACCCATAGCCCTGGTCCAGCTCCACCCCACCCCACCCCACCCCACCTCATTCCTAATTCCAACCCCTTCCTGCCCCATCATTACCTCAGGCCCCCAAGTGGCAGCCCTCATCTTGGTATATTTATTCCATCTCTCCCTCTTACCCCAGAGTGACTCCGGTGGCCCCCTGGTCTGTGATGAGACCCTGCAGGGTGTCCTTTCCTGGGGTGTTTACCCCTGTGGCTCTGCTCAGCACCCAGCTGTCTACACGCAGATCTGCAAATACACCTCCTGGATCGAGAAGACCATTCGCTCTCACTGACCCAGTGGCCCAGCCACCGCTTCACCGTCTGCATCCTTCCTGCACAGACGGCCCAGCCACCTCCCCCTGCCCCATTCAGACCCCTGCCGCCATCCCTGCCTGTGAACATCCCCCTCCCCTCCCCTTCCTCCCCAGCGGAGCGCAGACAGTGCGGGTAAAGTTCTGTTCAAGGGGAGCCAGGAAGCCAGCGGGCACCTGGTCTCCGAGAGAAGTTCTCAGTCACCCCCCAACCTGGCGTCCTCCACCATTCCCTGCTGCGTGACCTTGGGCAAGCCAGGGGCTTCTCTGGGCTTTAGTTCCCTCCCTGAAAAAATGGGGACAAAGAAGTGCCTACCTCGTAGACGTGTCGTGAGGAGACAATGGTATAACGTGTGTGTACGTGTGCAGATCTTTATGGTCATTCTCAGTAAAGCATTAGCGTAGCGGGTGGTGAGCTCTCACTAAATGTTATTTGGTGTCCTTGATATCATTGTAATAACCTGGTTGTTAATTAACCGGGAAGGAGTGACGGGAAAGCAGGATAATACAGGCCTGCCGCCTGCACCGGGAGGCTGCCGTTTAGCATCCTCTCGGCCTCTCTCTCCAAGATTGCAGGGGGAAGGGACTGGACAATAGACTGGTGCCCCCTGAGGTCTGGGTGATTGTGGGGAAAGGGACTGGACAGTAGACTGGTGCCCAGTGAGGTCTGGGTGACTGGGACGGTGCTTATCTGTCAGTCACACCTGGGGGCAGGGCACCGGCCAGAACAGGCATGGCCACTGCCCAGCGGGCAGGCTTGAACTCCTACACTGAGGGAGCCCTCTCTCGCTCTCCTGGCCCCCTCGCACCCCTGGCTCTCCTGTTGCGGGGGGCGCACCCCCCTGCGCAATGGACTGATGGACTGGGGCTGGCCTGATGCTGAACCAGACTCAGTTCCACCATGAAACTGAGACTCTGGACACCGGCTCTGCTTCTGGCTCTACTGAAGCTCCAGCTGGACATTTTCTAGGACTGGGTTAAGAGATCCAGGACTTTGGAAACCGAGGGATGTAATTTCGCACAAATAAAGATGACTCACCCTCCCATGCAAGTCTTAGAAATTCTTTTTCTCAAGATATCGCAAGAACCCCACTCCCACTAGCAATGGAGGGATCCCACCCATGTAATCCTATGATAACATCATGACCTGTGAACAGGTCCTGGTGACAGCATGTGTGACTGTGTCCTGGGGAAAACGCACAGGTGTAATCCCCAATCCTACCCCCCCCCACACACACACCATCCCCATCTCCATTCCTCGGGGCTGATGGGAACATCGCACTGTCCACCCCTCTGAACCACTTCCCTCTCCCCTCCCACTGTTTCCCACCTCTGAGTCCACCCAGCACCCGTTGGTGCTGTCCCAGCAGGAGCTGGGCCGGCTCTGAGTCACTTGGTACCTTCTCTGCCTTCCTGGGGCCACTGGAACCCAAGGGACCTCACCTTGTCTCCATCCCAGCCTCTAAGACCAGAGGAACTCTCCTCGCCTTTGTTGTTAAGTCCACGCAAAGAAGCCCTCTGAAATTTAGGGGGATTTTTTCTGTTTGTTAGATCCATCTGCATCCCCTCGCCAACCAAGGGCTGCAATCCCAGCTCAGCACATCTCCACTGTCATCCCTCACCCAGCACCCAGCACCCAAGTCCAACTCCATCATCCACGCCCCTTCCCAAAATGTCTTTGAGACTGTGCTCTGAAAATGCGGGAAGATGGGTTCGTCTCTATCAGAAACTGTCTCCATGTAAATATTCCTATGCCAGGCGTGGGGGTGGGGAGGTGGGGAAGTTATACCCAGAATCCAGGCAGAGCTAAAAATGCCCTCGAAGCTCCACTTACATCAGCTGACCATACGCACAACAGAAGTTTTCCATTCATCGCAGGTGGTTCTTGTTTCCCCATTCAAACAACAATTTATTGAGTATTTATTACATGGCAGGCCCGGTGCTGGGCTGGGAGCGTAGTGGTACCTACAAGGTCCCTGCCCTCACAGGCCACAGAGGACTGGTGCACAGTCCCTTACTCCTTCCCTGCTCCTATTAGCATGCCCAGGAAAGGCCACTGAGGCACATCGGCCGAGTTGGTTATGCGAGGAAGTGGGTGGGGACTCGAAAACTTGATTCATTTTTAAAGGGAATTCACCCATTTCTTTAGTCATGCTGCACGTGTTTATTGAACCCAGTCCTACATCAGTTCCTGGAGATGAATCAGACTGGGCCCTGCCCTCAAGGAGATGCTAGTCAAGTCAGGGAGATAGGCAAGCCTTACATTCTTGGCATTCAAGTCTCCATGCAAAGGTCACCTCCTCAGTGAGGCCCTCCAGGGTTGCCCTGGCTAAAGAGGTGTCCCCTCAAGTCACCAATCCATTGCTTTATTCCTTTTGCAGCACTCGTTATAGCAGAAATGATCTCATTTATTTATTTACTCCCTGATGATCTGTCCCCTCCCTTCTCCCACCCAGTCCACGAGGGCAGGGACTCTAATCTATTCACTGTGGTGTTCTAACAGTACCTGGCACACAGAAGCCACTCAATACACTGTTGAATTAAAAAATAATAACAATAACACAAGTTGATCAATGCTGTAAGAGAAAGAGGTAGAGTGTGGCCCGAAGAGGGACCAAGGTCTATTCTCAAAGGAATCAGGGAAGTCTTCTCAGATGAGGGGGCATTGCATGGGCCTGTTTTGTTGTTTTAAATCTTTACCCTAGGATATGTTTTTATTGATTTTAGAGAAGTGAGAAGGGAGAGAAACAATGACTTGAGAGACAAACATCGATTGATTGCCTCCTATACATGCCTGACCTAGGTTCTAACCCAAAACCTAAGCACGTGCCCACTCAGGGAACTGAACAGGCAACCTTTAGGTGTATGAACCACGCTCCAACCAACTTAGCCACCTGGCCAGGGATGCATGGGGTTTTAAAGGACAAGTAGGAGTTCACCGGTTTCAGAAGGAAATGTGTTTCTATCACGTACTGTTTGACCTTGACCAAATTACTTGAATGCGCTACCTCAATTTCCCTCCCCACTTCCTGTGACATTGAGTTTGGGAAGACTCTTGTGAGAAGCAAGTGAGAGAGTATAGGTGCAGTGCTTACCTGACTGCCAGGCAGAGGGTAACCAGTCCATAAAGGTAGCTATCAAGATGTTCTTAAAGCAGTTAGGATGGCACTTAGCAAGTAGTGGGTGTTCAGCCCTTGGTCTCAAGACCTGCTTGTGTAGACAGGGAGTAGGACAACTCCAGTCATGGGAGGCAGTGCGGGGCTCTGGGGGAGATGGACAGACATATTTTTGGAATGCTTACAATGTGCCAGACACTGTCATGCTTCGGAAGTGTGAATTCACTTATCCCCTTACAACTCCGGTTACTATTGCTACTCATTAGATAGAGCCACCGGGAGATGCCCAGTGACCTGCTCAAGTTCACACACCTAATAATTGCCTGTGTTGAGATTCGGAGCCAGGGAGTCCAGGTCCAGAATCCATGCTCCAAACTGCTATACCATTGTGAGGATGCATTCCAAGGAATGCCAGGCCCAGCTTGTTAATCAGGCCTTGCGGCAAGTGGAAGAGGTTGTGAGTGCTCAGGGGAGGAAGAGATGGACTCCGCCTGGAGAAATCAGAGAAGGCTTCCTATAGGAGGTGGTATTTAGGTTGGGTCTTGAAGTATGAGTAGGAGTTCACCAGGAAAAGAAGGATATTGAGAAAGACATTCACTCATTCAATTAACATATCCTAAAACCTCCCGTGAGCCCTGGCTAAACTGGGTGATTCTGGGGAGAGATGAGTCAGATGTGGGTTTGGCCCTTCCTGGGCTGCCCATCTGATGAGGAGGGAGAAGAAGAGAGGCAACAAGAATGGGGTGATGGGAAGGACAACAGAGGGGAGGAGATGGATGACATTGAAAAATGAGAGAATGTTCTCTGGACTTGGCCAAGATCTGGTGATAATAAGAGAGAGGGAAAAGTGCTGGGTCCCAGGTAGCTTGGCCACCCGGGTCCTTGTGGCGCTGGAGGACGTGAGGAAGGTAGTCGGTTATGACAAGTGTAGGTTAATTCCATTGGGCCCATATTTCTCAAGCACCTTTGTGGTCATTGCCTCTCAGTCTGAGTCTTCTCTTCCCACATCTTTCTGTATCTCTACCTCCCTCTCCCAACTACTTCTTTGTCTTTCCCCACCTCGGCCCATCCTGTCTGCCTGTGTGCCTGATCTCTGTGCAGTGCTCCTGTTCCTTGGTCCCAGCTCACCACCGCTTCATTCAAGATAAACTTGCTTCCACCCCAGGACCCCGCCTTAAGGATCTTCCTCCTCACTCTGTTCCTCCTTGAGGCCATGGAATATCCTGAACCCAGATCCTGCATCTGGAGGTCATGGGGAATGAGGGTGCCCCTTCTTTGGAGACACCCGGGAGGATTCTATATCCCAGGCCCCCCTCCCCATTTAGCCAAGCCCTGACCCAGCAAGGAGCAAGCTCTTCCTGGCAGGGGGTCCTCCTGCATGGCCTCCTTCTCAAGGCCTCCAGCCAAGGCCTCAGGGATTCCTCCTCCCCCAGTGACATTTCCCAACCCCAATTAATCACAGGGTGGCCCGAGGGAGGAGGAAGGAGATGACATGGCTTACCATAAAGAAGCAGGGACACCAGAGCCAGACTCCAGGACCCAGGCACCCAGAGGTCATGAAGCTGGGATTTGTCTGTGCTCTGCTTTCTCTCCTGGCAGGTGAGGCTGCTGCTGTCCATCCTGTCCATCCTGCTGCCCCTCTCTGGCCCCAGCAGCCTCCCCACATTGCCCTTGCTCCTCCAGCCTTCTGTTCCTGCCCTCTAGGAACAGTATCTCTCCCCAGTCCTCCCACCTCGCTCTTCATTGACCCCTCTGCCTCTCACCTGCCCCCAGGGAGCAGCTGGGCCGACACCAGAGCCATTGGGGCTCAGGAATGCCAACCCAACTCGCAGCCGTGGCAGGCTGGCCTCTTCTACCGCACCCACCTCTTCTGTGGGGCGACCCTCATCAGTGACCGTTGGCTGCTCACAGCTGCCCACTGCTACAAGCCGTGAGTGACCACTCTGGGGAGGGGGCTGGGGTTAGAGAAGGGTGAGGTGGGCAAGGGACTCTGGTAGAAGTGGAAGGGACTGTAATCAAGAAGGGCTGAGCCTCTATTTCTCTTCCCAGAAGTTCAACTCAGAACTACAAAGAGTCAACTTTTCCTAATACTAGAGTTTTAAATAATTTGGTTCTAAGAGTCTAAGATTCGAAATTTACACTCTTAGAAGCCTAGACTCTGATCCAGGGTAATCCAGAATTGTAGACTCCTAAAATCTGGGATACACGAGATTCTACATTAGCCTCAGAGAATTCTAGAATCTTAGAAGGCCAGAGCAGCCCTGCCAATGAACTATAATGTTGGCCAGGTAAGTTTAAGTTTTCTAATAGACACATCGCAAAAGTAAAAGAGAAACAAGAAGATTTAATTGAAATAATAGATTTAACTTCATATACTCAAAGTATTATTTTAACATGTAATCAGTGTTTAAATATCTAAGAATATCTCTTTTTTGTGTAAGCCTTTGAAGTCAAACATGTATTTTACATGTATGACACATCTCTATTTGAACTAGTTGTACTGGATAGAGCAATACTAGAATCTTAGATTCAGAGTATTCTGGCTGGGTTCATTGAGTCTAGATGCTCATAGTCCTAGAATACTGTGATTTGTAAAATTCCAGAATCTTGAACCAAGAAAATTCTAGAAGGTTATATTTATAAACCTCTAGAATTTGCTGGACTTAATATCCCAGAATGCTATCATTCCAGATTCTTAAAATCCCCACACCTTTAATTCAGAGAATTCTACTATAGTCTCCAACTATTTTTAAATTTCCAAAATCATTGATTTATAGAATTCTAGGATGATGACATTCTCACCTTATTGTCCAAAAATACTAAAATTCTAGGCTCGTTAAGTCCTAGATTTAACTCAATTTTAAAATCCTAGAATTTCTGATCCAGAAATATCGAGAACATTAGAATCGTGGATTCATAACATTCTAGAACTCAAGCCTTATAGAATTCTAGAATGTGTGGGTTCCTAGTGTGTTAGATTCCTAGAGTACGAGAGTTTTATATTCTGGGCGCCCTAGTAGAATCCTAGAATCTACCTGAGGCAGAAATCCTGTCTGCGTATCTCTGGAGATGGGCTGTCCATCCTGTCTGGTGTTCTTCCCTCCAGGAATGAAGCACAGGTGCTGCTACAGGATGCTATGTGGGAATTTCCCATCATGCATTGCTCCATGATGGGGCCTCTTTCAGCTCAAGGTCTGTACACCAAGCTAGACTTCAGCCCCAAAGACAAAGAAGGAGAAACAAAGAGATGTGGAGGTAGAAGGGATTAAGGGGCAAAGACAAGTTAGGGGAAGGGGAGAAAGGCTAGTTTCCCAGACACAGAGCAGAAGCAACACGGTGACAGAGGGGTACAGAGATAGAAATAACTTCATGCTCCTCAAACCCGAAGCTCTCAGTCATTAGCCTGATCCCTAATGTGAGAGGTCAGAGACTGGGGGTGGATATGGAGACACCTAGAAGGTCCCTAGCTGTCCAGGGCATGGACCCAGAGAAGAACAAGTGAACTAGAACTGCAGTTAGAAGGGTTGGGGTTACACCTCAGGAGGAAATGCATTGAGGGGTTAGAGATATGGCAGACAGGAAAAGCCCAAGGCCACAGATGACCCCAAACTTGGGGATTTTCCATATCTCATCAACTTCCTGCATACAAATTGGAAGACACATAGTCACTCCCCACAGAAGCCACCAAACCTGTGGAGGCAGGGGTGTTGGCTCTTTCTGTGTTGTAGGTGGAGCCCCCATGTGCCTACACAGTTCCAGGGGACACAGGTCACCAACAATGCACCAGGTGGGGCAAGGAAGCAGGTGGCTCTGTTGGCATGGACCTAGGAAAGAGTGTGAGTTTTGGAGATAGAGCTACAAAAACACAGGCAGACAAAGGGATGGAGTGTGGCTCAGGGGCCCAGAGAGGGTATGTGCCTTGCTTAAAATCACACAGCACTCTTGGATCACTCATATGATGGGGGCCCAGAGAGGATATGTAGCTTGTGGAGAGTCACACAATACCCTGGTGGATACTCATTTTGACCCCTGAGACCTGTCCCAGCAGGTATCTGTGGGTCCGCCTCGGGGAGCATCACCTCTGGAAATGGGAGGGCCCAGAACAGCTGTTCCGGGTCACGGACTTCTTCCCCCACCCTGGGTTCAACCAGGACCTTAGAGCTCAAGATCACAACAATGACATCATGCTGATCCGTCTGCCCAGGAAGGCACGCCTGGGACCTGCCGTGCAGCCCCTCAACTTCAGCCAGACCTGTGTCTCCCCAGGCACCCAGTGCCTCATCTCAGGCTGGGGGGCCGTGTCCAGCCCCATGGGTACAGCCTTGTCCATGACACATTCCCTTACATCTCATGCTGAGGGTCTAAATCCCTCCTCCTTCTCTGTCTCTGCCTTTTCATCTCTATCCTCTATCTATTGATCTATCTCTCCAGCTATATATTCCATCAAATCTAAGGTGCTATAAATTATAAGGTGCATAATTATTTCACAATCCACTGAATGGGGGGGGTGAGGTCCCATTGATCCTTGTGTGACACCATTTACTGGAAGACACATCTTGATTTCAGGATGTTTAAATGTGAAAATATATGTATCGCAGAATCCAGATAAGGCCTACATCTCTCAGAGTCACAAATTAACAAGCTATTAGCCAAATCTGGCTCCCCACATAAGTGCTGGATTTCAAAATGTCTCAAAAAACATGTCTAAATTGCTGTTGCCAACATCTAAAACCTGAGAGATTTTACATAAAAGCCAAGGCTCCCACTCACATTCTTCAAAGAGCAACCTTTGTTGGATAGAGAGAGGGGAGGTGGCCCCCTGCAGACCAAATCACAACAGTGCCCAGCATCCCACTTCTATTTACCAATCAAGCCCCTGTATGCATCTGAGTTTGCACCCATGCACTATATACATGGATAAATGTATATTTATATCCATATCTATCTCTCTATGCTGAACTCCCTCTATCTCTACCAAGTATCTCTAAGTCTTTATCTCTGTCAGTATCAATGACCATCTCCCTATAAATGTCTCCTCCCCTATAACTCATGGCCTTCTCCGTGGATATCTCTGGGCCCATTTCTATTTCTTCATGGCCTCCTCTGAGAATTGCTTTCCCCTTAAGAGGTCTCTAGCTCCTGCCATGGCCTTTATTTTTCTCCATGTAGATTATATACGTGCCTCGTGGCTCCCTGCACCTTTCTGTTTCTCTCCCTCTTCATATACATCTGTGTCTCTTTCATGCTATGCTTCTGTCTGTCTCTGTCTCTTGTTTCTATCTTAGTGAATCATATGTGATGGCTCCATGGATTCTCCTTAAGAAATGGGTGGGAGGGTGCTGAGTGAGATGGGTACAGCTGCTGATCCTCTATGACCCCTTTCCCGACAGTGGAGTACCCGCTCACGCTGCAGTGTGCCAACATCAGCATCCTGGAGCCTAGACTCTGCCATCGGGCATATCCAGGCCAGATCTCCAAGCACATGCTCTGTGCGGGCCTGTGGCAGGGGGGCCGGGGCTCCTGCCAGGTGAGATCTACTCTGGGGAGGAGGTGGAGGGTGGGTATCTTCCTGGGACACCTGGGTCCTGGGAGAGTTTGGGGCCAGCATCAGGATTTCTGGATCTAAAAGAGGAGGGAACTGGGGGAGTCTGGACTCTAAGTCCTGGGGGGAGAGGGTGCTAGGGGCCCAGAATGCTAGGTCCAAGGGAGAAGTGGAGGCTATAAGTTTTTACTCCTGGGTCTGAGGGAGGAAGGATGGGAGACCTGAATGTCTGGGTTTCAGAGGAATTAGAAACGGGGGGGGGG